CTTTGGCAAGACCAGGAACCCAAATGAGTTGAACGTTAACGCACCTAGCTAGGTCATTGAGGGAAGACTTACAGTTTTGAGTTATAATTGTAGTGGCTGAGATGCTTACCAGTGATTTAATGGCAGCTTGGCTATCCTGAAGATTGATATATTTACGTCAGAAAATATATCGGAAAATATATTAATACTTCAATACTTTCGAAATAGCTTAACTAATTAATTCAACTAAAAAAACGAACTGCTGGATTTAGAAATCAAAACTGTTCTTAAACTTTTAACTTTTATTTATTTAAATTATAACTAAATAGAAATAAGAGTCAATAATTAAGGTATCTAACTCTACGATGCTGAACCGATATTAAGCAATATTGTATTTTCTTTGGTTGTGGTTTTCACATCAGCATTATTAAAGGTTTTTTTGGTATTCGGTCAAGTATTCAATTCCTGTTCGAAGCTCTGATTATGACTACATAATAAGAAGATAATATAGTGTTAAAGATTGTTGTTGGGAGGGGATCTTATAATGTGAAATAGAATTAATAAATATTTTAATTTTATTTAATACGAATTGTATAAAATCTGTTAACTAATTAAAAAGAAAGGGAGCACCATAAAAATTATGTATTATAATGATATACAAACGCATAGAAGATTTTAATTTTAGAAATCCCATAAAACGTATCATAGGTTATACCTACCTATAGGTGTTAATTCTGAATATAACAGTCGTATCACAAAGTATAGAAAAAATTGCAAAGTTAACTAGTTTACTACGTCCGTAAAGCTTTGAAAATTTTTTGTAAAAATATTCCCATATAATATTCCCACACAAATATATATAACTTTATTCTAATTGATAAGCATTTTTAAATAATAAAAATTTATGTGTTTGTGTATTTATAGCAGTTTTAAAAAATAAACAAACTTTTTTTTATAGAGCTAATAAACTATACAAAGTCTTCAGATAAGTGAAATTATAAGTTGGGGAATACGCAATAAATTTATTAAACGTTATATCTAGAAATTATGTAATATCACTAAAAGTTAATAGAAATATGAAATATTAGAAAATATTATCAAGCATTTCTTTAATTTTTTTAAATATTTTTAATCAAATAATAAGCTAAAATGAATACTAATTTTAATCGTAATATAAAGCAAAAAAGTACGGAAGTTAATAACAACAAATATTAAATAAAAATATTTTTATGAAATTTATTATGTACTTTTGCTAATTTCAAAGAAAACTTTAAATTTTATTTTAAAAGATTTCTACTTTTTTCACAATAATATATTGCAAATATAAAACAAATATACAACTGAATAAAAAAAATTGATATGAGAAAAAATAAGTGAACTCCATTGAACGAAATAACAAAACAGTAAAAATTTACCTTTAAATCATAATAAAAATAATAATAATCATAATAATATACTCTTGTATATTATTAATATTGATATTATTATTCTATGTTCCTAACGAAGTGAGATACGCAATAAAATAAAGCAGTATAAATAATGTTATGCCTGTGAGCATATTATAATAAATCGAAATAACCATATAATATAATGATAAATTTTTGTTGTAAAAATCAGTGCTAACTTAAATGAATTATGAGCAAATGTGTTAACCTATTAGTTCAATCGTTACTTGATAAAAGCAATACCATAAGTTATCTACTAACGTTCAATCTGGTTATTTTGACTTATTATAATATGTTGAAAACATAGCTTTATTTATATTGCTCTAAACAGTACTCTTTATACAAATTAAGTTATAAATTAGTCTCACAAAAACGATTTATATTTGTATAAATATATGATTCATTATACAAACCATATGTGATTGCTGAATCATCTAATTAAATGATTAATGATCCACGTTTTTATTGTAGTAATTTTAAAACAAAAATAATTGCATTGATTTGATCACAATTTATGTTACATACAATTAATTGTTTTTATTAAAACAGAAAGCTTATATTACAATAAAAAGCATTTATTACAATAAATAGCATTTATTACAATAAAAAACTTATATTACAATAAATAGCATATATTGCAATGAATGATATTTATTACAATAAATAGCATTTATTACAATAAAAAGCATTTATTACAATAAATAGCATTTATTATAATAAAAAGCATATATTTCAATAAAAAGCATTTATTACAATAAATACCATTTATTACAATAAAAAGCATTTATTTCAATAAAAAGCATTTATTACAATAAAAATAATTTATTACAATAAATAGCATTTATTACAATAAAAAGCTTATATTACAATAAAAAGCATTTATTACAATAAATAGCATTTATTACAATAAAAAGCATTTATTACAATAAATAGCATTTATTACAATAAATAGCATTTATTACAATAAAAAGCTTATATTACAATAAATAGCATATATTGCAACAAATGATATTTATTACAATAACAGCTGATGTATATATAAAGACAATAACGATGTGTTTTATTGGTTACAAACCATAGAGAGTTAGTGATATATATATCTATTTATCTAATATAATGTTGTATACTAAATTTAATAAATTATTTTTCCAGATGGTTTTACCTAAACAAATGGGTATTCAATCTCGCTGATATAGGCTAACCTCATATTTCAATTCAAAACAGTCACGAATATTTGAATCTTATGTCCATACAGACGGTTTTGTCTTTACAAAATAGAGCAGAAAAAATTCTATTGTTCCTTTAAAAAAAAAATATGAACTAATCTAACTAAATTTGCTTTATTTTATAGTTTTAAAAAACAATTATTATTATGCGCCTTTTACTTTTCCCATGATGAATAATTTAAATATCTGTGTCATTGGAAGGGACAATGGTACAACATGACCTTTGAGATCTACTGCGTTGTATTCAAAATTTCTATGTTTTATCGAATATTTGCTATTATTCTCATTAAACAATAATATGTTACACCATAACCTATGAGAACTATTATGGAGATTAAAACTTTTATGCTTAGACGTTACTCGAATTATTTGAAAGTGCATAGCACTAAAGCTAACAGAGAGAATGACGAATACGAATGAATCAATTTTGAGTCATTTTAATTAAGAATTTAATTATCTATATCATTAGAGTGAATATAGGTTCATCGCAACCTAAGAGATGTATTGTGGTAAATAAAATATCTATATACTTTGTAGACCATTAGCTGTTCTATTTATATAGACAATGGTACACCACAACTTATTGTATACTATTTGCTGTTCTGTTTACTTCTTCTTCTAGGCGAACAACACTAAACGAATAGCACTAAAACTAAAACAGAAAGATGTATGACTAAATTAATTTTATGTCACGCTGATAAAGAATTCAATTATCTGTATCATTAGAAGCGACAAAGAAATCAATTGTGGTAAATAAAATATATATATATAATTTATTCACTGTTCTATTTACTTTATTAAGAGGAATAACACTAAAAGAATAACACTAAAGCATACTGCACTAAAGCAAACTACACTAAAATAAACTCCACTAAATCGATTACATACGATTACATGCGTACTGCACTAAAGCGAGATGCATTAGAGCGAACAGCACTGAAATAAACTCCACTAAATCGAATACATAAAAATACGGCTATAACTAAATCATTTTCTAAGTCGCATTGATAAGAAATTTATATGTCTGTATCATTAAGAGGGACAAAGAAATCAATTGTGGTAAATAAAATATTTATATTATTTATTCACTATTCTATTTACTTTATCAAGGCGAACAACACTAAAAGAACAACTCTAGAGACTCTACTGCACTAAAGCGAACCACACTAAAACAACTCCACTAAATCGAATACATAGAAAAATGGCTATAACTAAATCGATCTTAAGTCACGCTGATTAAGAATTTATATATCTGTATCTTTACAGGGGACAAAGAAATCAGTTGTAGTAAATAATATATTTATATAATTTATTCATTGTTCTTTTTACTTTATCAAGGCGAACTACACTAAAAGAACAACACTAGAGCGTCGTATTGCACTAAAGCGAACTGCACTAAAACAAACTGCACTAAATCGAATTCATAGAATACATAGAAAACTAAATCAATTCTAAATCACACTGATAAGGAATTTATAAATCTGTATCAATGATACAATGGGACAACGGTACACCATAATCTTTAACATCTATCGCACCCAAAATAAATATTTATATACTTTAAAGAAAAACAATTTAAAAAACTCTATTATACTCATTTCCCACAATGTGTGTAAAGTGTGTAAAAATATGTAAATTTAATTTATGAAAACCTTTTGTAAAATGTAGTCAGTCAGTCTCATGTGCGACCATAAAAATTTACTTTGTATCGAAAGTTCAAAATTACAAAACCCAAAATTCACCTCCACTTATCAGACTTCGTTCTTGTGTGGAAACACTCAAGTCCGCAAGTCTTTGTTTGCGTCTACGCTGCGCTTATGCAATGAACACAAATGCAACAGCTTCTTGTACTCTCACTGCTGCCATAAGACCATACGGCGATACGGCGATGCCTTTAAACTCGACCTTGACATTGATATGTTTATGTGCGCGTTGATAACGAAACTACCCCCAACACAAGCCAATAATACATAAATACGAAAAAAATATATATAACAGAATAGATACATTTTAATTTTTTCAATAAACCTTACAACAAATGAAATGATTTTTATGATTATTAAAAAATAAAAATTAAATAAAAAACTATATTATTAAAAAATTATTTATTAAAAAAATTAATATTAAAATATTAAATTTAATATAATATTATAATATAAAAAAATAACACTAATATAAAAAAAATAATACTAATATAAAAAAAATAATACTAATATAAAAATAATACTAATATAAAAAAAATTGTTACTAATATAAAAAAAAATAATACGAATATAAAAAAAATTAATATTATTAAAATATTAATATTATTATAAATAAAAGAATTAATATTTGCTTTAAATTCACTTACCGCCAGTCAGAACAATTTTATAAACACGTTTCTTTTCCGAATTGTTCATTTTGTTTAACTTTAGGCCGGGCCTTGGATTCAGTTTCGGTGAATTTGATTTCTCCATTTGTTCTTGTTTATTGTTAACTTCAATTGCTTCCTGTTGTTGTTTTATACTATTTGAAATTTTATCACCGCCGTTCGCAGACCCGTGCTGCTCCATCTCTGCACTCTTTAAAACTAAACAAATGCCCACGTACGAAAAATTCTACTACGGGTATTCGCTTTAACAGCTGATTTATCCTTTAAGTACAAACACCGAACAGCCAACAGCCAAACAGCCACAAACCAACAACTAAACCAAGAGCACTTCAAGCGCTAATAAAGCGTTAGAAGAGAGCGTGGCAGGGGTTTGTTTTTTAATTGATAGATTCGCCTCAACGTGCTTTTCGTTTCGACGGTTGAATGAATATTTTAAGGTTAGGAGGAGCTAAATTTGCTTCATTCTTGTGTATCCCAAAATTTTGTATAACTCAAATCAAATCAACAGCGCGTCGCCTCAAACACTTTTCTCCACACAATACAATTATCGAAGAACACAATATATATTTCAATTTTTTTTAATTTGATTAATATAACAACACTTCTTCATACACAAAAACAAATAAATTTATTCATATTTTTACACATACGATGAGAACGAATTAAGAACACCACCACAACACCGAGCAAATAA